CTTTTGATTAGTACTTTTCGCGTTTTCTTTCAGGGTAGTGTTGCGCATAAACATTGATCGCGTTGCTATTAGTGTTGCGTCTGATAAATCGCGTCCGATTTGAAATAATTTACATATTTTCAAGTAGTATGTTTCGCGTTTTCTTTCAGGATAGTGTTGCGAATAATAATGAATCGCGTTTGCTATTAGTGTTGCGTCTGATAAATCGCGTCCGTTTTGAAGTAACTTTGTATTTTTAGTCAGGGCAAGAACAAAAAAAGAAGACCTACGGATTTTTTTTATGTTTTTGAAGAATAGAGAATAATATACTTTTGTTCTGTTGCAGGCGACTGTGGCGAATTGTAAATCGACTACTCGACAATAGAAATACGGCTATAAAGTGTAATCATATCGGGAAATTGATATATTTTATTTAACGTAACATTATGTTTGAATTGTTCCATTTTTATGAATCATATATTTTTCTTAGTTACATATTTGATATATTAAAAAATTACTTTATTATATTAATGAATATTCATTATTAGAGTTAACACGCGATATAGTCTCTTTTGTAACCACAGTTAACTTACAAGAAATTTGAAATAACAAAGTAGAGAATCTTTTTCGTAAATATTGAAAATTTGCATAATCAAAATTTCCTCGCGATCGTTGTTTAATCTCATGATATTGATAGGAAAACTTTGAGTAGAGTCGATATTACGCGTTTTCGTAATTTTTTTTTATAGAGATGATTTGCATTTGATTTCTTTCAACTAAGAATAAATTATTATAAAATAAATAAATTTAAATTATTATAAAATAGTACTTTTAGTCTGGTAACTTTTTCTCTTGGCATTGAGATCTAATTCATTTTTGAATCTATGAATATATATCGATAGTGATTAATTTACGTGTGTATGTTTATACTAAAAAATGTTTTTTTCAGCTGTTAATCCATTGAACAAGTTTATGTTACAGAGTAAATACGCATATTTCTATTGGGACTATAGGTTTCTAGAAATACTATATTACAAAATCTGAAGGATTTATGAGTGGAATGTAAAAATTTGGAAAGTGAAGCCCAATATTCATCTACAAGGAGAGTGGTAAAAATCAGTACAGTATAGAAGTTCTTGTGTCTGAAAAAGTAATCATTACAAAATTCTGTTTAGTATGTTTCAGTTTATGCTTCAGAAATTCTTCCTGGGATCTTGCTTTACAACGGAAAAGATCCACATATATTCTTCCATTTCCTTAGATATTATCGCAGGCAGGATGTGCAAATACAATTATACTTATCATTTGTCAAGCTTTTCATGTTTCAGAAAATCTTTCTGGGATAATTACTTAACAACAAGAAAGA